TGCGAGTAAATCACTCGCATATGCGACTAAATCTTCACTCTGGGCGACTAAATGACATCTAATATTAGCCAATAGCTAATAAATTAGCTGTGTGAGTTGGAGGCTAAGTATAAGTTTAGCTCCGATATATTTTCACTCACAGAACACTCTCTGGCTGAGCGCATCAGTTTCACTCTTCGCCAAGCGATCTGTGCTGTTTTTCAGTTCATCTGAATGGATGTGCAACGCACCTGTATTTATCGTACCGTAAACTCTAGTGTGAAGGCGCACGACGAGACGAGAGGGAGAGAGAGAATTAACGCGCTACCTATGCGCGCTACATGCAAACAATATATGTTGTTGTATTTTGCGGTCAAAATAACGGAGTTCCTTTGGAATTCTTCAGCTTTTAAGAACTACCGCTTTCTCTGGTAGTGGGCGGAACTAATGCGCAAATGGCAATCTCATTGGCTGGTGCTCACCTATTATCGTCCCTGTTTTGATTTCAGCAAATCAGTTCGAGCAAACGCACACAACCTGATTAATATTCATGAATCCAGTAGCTCATTAATCCTTGGTGCGTTTTATATTGTTGTTATTAGTAGAATTAGTATCATTGTTATCTTATCAGTATTTTTTGTTAGGTTTTCCCCAATTTTTTTTTTTTTTACAGATACACTGAATGACCAAAAAAGCACCACCACCAGTCCGAAGTTCAGTTACTAATTACTAATATGCATTCATACATGGTTATCAAGTTTTAATTCTAATTACTAAAGTTCTATCATTAAATAATATTGATTATCGTATTATAATGCTTGACTGACTGATGTTAAGAGTGTACTTTCAGATATTTATAAAACTGTGCCATTTTACAAACAAACACATATACATATATATATATATATATATATATATCAGTTTGGCAAGTAAACTAAAAAATTTACTAGCCAATGGCGATTAAATTGCCAAAATGTTCGTATAGGGCTGTAGGATTGAGGTCTGCATGACACACATCGCACAGACCCTGGATAAATGGCTGCTGTTTTTGTATGGGGAAAAAAAAGTTGTTGGTGGTTGCATACTCTGATTAAGGTCAGAAACAACTACAGAAGTTAAAAATCTCCCACACGCATAGTCAATGACATACAAGAGGGTCCACAATAAAGAAAAGGAAAGATATTAGAAAAATCCTGGTCATATCATTAGTGTATTCATAATGGTTTCAAATTGCTTTGAAAACTGACAACTAACTAAAAAATCTTGACTAAAAAATGTGATGTATCCATCATATAAAAAGTAACTTCTCCACATGAATACAGGTGAGTATAATTCTTAAAATGCATTTATTTATTTATTTTAAAAAGTTGTTCCCCAAGGTAATAAATAATAATAATTTTTAATTAGCAATACATTTGTAGGGACTCGGGAGTAGGGCTGCAACAAACAGTTATTTTGATAATCGATTAATCTAACGATTATTAGAATGATTCATAAATGATTATTTCGCTGATTAATCAGTAGACATTTATTGATTATTCAGCTTTTGCAATTAGTTAAAATATTGAGTTATACATATTCTAACAAATAAATTAAGGTAATCACTTCAGCTTTTGAAAGTCATATTATGTAATTACAATTATACAATATACATTTATACAAATAAATATATTTGGCACACAAAATGAGATGCCAGAGAAACTCTTATTCACCATTTAATTAGCTATATGAGAAAGTAGCTGAATGACACATCATTCTGCCTAAAATCTCTTTTTGTAAGTCATATGGATAAGAAATAGGGCTGCACGATAAATCGCATCTTGTCAGAAAAGCCGGTTCTGTAATCAGCGGTAAATCTCCATCACCTGCGGGCTTTCACATAGAGCAGCATTAACTACACAGAGCCGTTGTTCACTGGCGAGCTGCGCAAAACCACGTTCATGTTCATGTGATTTTCAAGTTCAAGCCCTATTCATTAGATTAGTCAAAGCGGGGTCTAACTCACACAGACATCCTCACTCACTTGAGGAAATATCCATGTTCTTAGTCACAGCCTAAGTCATGCGTTTCTCGATGCTGTAAACAATTATTTCTCTCCCAAGATCTGTATTCGGCTGAGGTGTGATAAATGAGCTTTTACTGCTCACATCCATCAGACAGAATCAAACAAACACAAATGGATGGTGAAGCATCATGTAGGCCCTGTTTATAGCGAATCACTATAAACTGATGGTTTATCATCAGAATAGCATAATAGACAAAGCAAAACTCTCATCTGACGTTCCACAGAGAAATTTCCATTCAACAGGTAACAATATAAATTAATCACTACACTCCAAAAAAAAGTTCTCTGCTGGCATCTATAGTTCCATGAAGAACCTTTAACATCCTCCATGGATGGCTTTCCATTGCACATTATTTATAGTGGTCAGTGGAAAAAGGTTCTTATTCAAATGTTCTTCACATTAAACAGAAAATGGAACTGTTCACTGAAAGGTTCTTTGGGGAAGCCAAATGGTTCTTCAGTGGCATCACAAACCCCATTTCAGAACATTTATTTTAAGAGTGAATAATGTGAGTGATTAAGAACAAGATGATATCATAGATGAAATCATGCTCAAAAGAAGCGTGTAACCATTGTAATTTTTCTCCTCCCATGTCTTGCTGCAACAGGTCCATCATACCAAGGACCTACTCCAAGATATAAGGTGTATAGGAAGAACTTCTAAAAGCACATTGATTGAGAATCTAATGACTTCTAATGATAATCTCAATTATTTCAAAGCACATCTGCTGTCATAATTATGCTCCTGACTTCACTGTGGAGTTTAGAAAAAGATGAAGGTCCTTGCAGCTCTCCTGAAGGTTTCAGGTGGTGATGAGGTGCTGATGATAATGGCCCATGTGTACTAACAGAAAGACTGGAGCTTGACAGGTAAAATGTAGCCTACTATGGAAAGGACTATATATTTTTAATTTATTTTCAATTACAATACTACTCTTTGGCTTTCAAAACCTAGCTAGACAGCATTCTGGGCACATATTAAGCATCTATTTACATTCTTATAAGTCTATAATACCAGAAAATGCTTTCTAGTAACAAGACGGCTCACTAGATTTAAGCCTATATGTTCTCAAATGTTACTAAAGATCATTCTGCGAGAGAGACTGAGAGACTTGATAATAAGACATCATTTACACCCTTGTGCTGTTCCAAATCTGTACGACTTTCTTTCTTCTGTGAAACACAAAAGGAGATGTAAGGCAGAATGAGCCTCACTCACCATTTACTTTGATGGAAGTGAATGGAATAGACTGCCTAACATCTTCTTTTGTGTTACACAGAAATAAAGTCGTGCAGGTCTGGAACAGCATGAGGGTGAATAAATGATGAAAGAATTACTTTTTTGGTGAACAATCCCTTTAATTTTGCTCTGATTTAACGGTTTATGTTGTGTTGATGTAAATGGAGAATAACAGCTGACCAAAGGAAAGCCATTCTAACTCATTCATACCCACAGACAGTTGCAGTGCATCTGTTTTCGGTGCACTTAAATGGAAACGAAAGCCTTTAACTTGAGATAATATGACATGACTGTAAAACACTAGTATCGGCGACTTTATTTTAAAAAAAGTATCATCTTAATTTAATCAATATCATCAGCATCATGTAGCGTAAAAAGTAACAGACATTTCAAAGCACGCACGCTTGACACAGACACACGCTCTTACCTTCAACAGCCCACACAATCCGTATTATCCATAACAAACGAATTATATCCATAATTGCCGTGAATTTGGGCATCTGACTGTAAAGACCTAGAATATTCATTGAAAACTTGTCCGGCAGGCCATCTGTGAACACACTATGATCACAAGCACTTGAATGAACCCCATCGGACTGGAAGAACTAAAGCAAGTTTGGACGAAACCAATGAAACGCAGACGAGGGGGCGGGAAAGACTGTATGACAAGAGTGATGCTCAACACCGTGATCATCACTAGTGTCTGCAAGATATTATATTATATTATAATTTTCTAAATTCAATTTTAAATATGTTAATTTGCTTTCATTTAGAATTATTAATAAGTTACATGCTATTATATTAATTTACATTATATTATATTATATCACATTAGTGAAATATTTTCTCAATTAAAATTGAAATGTATTGATTTGCATTCATTTAAAATTATTAATATTAAGTTAAATACTATTATATTATATTATATTATATTAATTCAATGAAAGTACATTACATTACATTTGAAATGTATTCATTTACTTTCACTTAAAAAAATTAATATTAATAAATTAAACAATAATACTTCAAATAAACTGCTCTAAAATAAAATTTAAAAATCTTACAACTGGAATAATCATCTAAATTAATTTATTTTAAAAAATGTTAGCATACTAAGATTTAAACCGTATTTCATTTTATTATTATTTAAAATATTTTTATGGATTTTTTTTCTATATGTGTTAGCAACTGGTAGTATTTATAACGTTATCCACACACAAAAGACACTGCGGCATTTAAATTAAAGAAATAATTATTTATTTCGAAATTTGAAATTAGTAGCATGCTTCTATTCATGGATACACAAGCCAAGTAGTTTGCCCGGAGTTCACTTGGTTGATCAAGGGCTCTATAAATTCATATTATGCCAACAGTGCCCCCTGGAGTTTGGGTGAAAAATGTGCTGTCTAGGCGCAGGGGGGTTGAGGGGGTGAACTGATAGAGTAATGCATGTGGTCGTCTATCAAATACTTCTCTAATCCCTTGAGTCACTTGCAATTGAATGTTTTTGAAGATTGCAAAGCTGATAGATCACACAAGGGGCTGGTGCGAAGAAGACAAATGGCCTCGTTTCTCAACACCGCCGCTCGTGACCTTTGACTCCCATGTGAGATCCTCCATTAGTACTTCAGCCCTCATACATGGATAATTGCACTCCCGGTGACTTTACCTAGTGTATCACTGCATTTCAGATATCATTTCAGATCCTGAATAGTGGAGCTGTTAGCATAGTTACAATTACAAATGTTAATTTTTCTTTTAGTACATTCGGTCAAAAACATAAGAGCGAATAAAATGAATAAATAGGCCACAGATTGTAAATCACTGACACGGAAGTCATAAAACAGTATAGTACTGCACATTTGCTTGTACCTAAAAACACACAACTGAAGAGGAAAATCATAATGACTCGTTAAAAACAGAGCATGATTATACACATTTCTGTGAATACAACAGAGCTCTTAGCAAGAGCAAGAGAGGGAAAGACCACAGGAAAGAGAGAGACGGAGAGTTAGGGAAAGAGAGAGCGGGCGAGAGAGGGAGGAAATAGAGCAGAAGAATATGGAACTGACATAAAGGAATCTAGGATAATTCAACCTCAAGATGAGTGAGGACTGCAAAACGGCAGACTAGAGAATCCAGGGGTCGTTTCCATGGAAACCTTTGCCTAGGGAGATTGGCGACCCTCCTGTCTACTAATGCTAGCAGAGCGCAGATTGTAGGTCACATATGGCACCAGCAACAACCCAATCAGGTCTAATCTGTCTTGACTTGTGGGTCATGAATTGAACCATGAAACTGTTTTTTACTCTGGCTCATATCACTGACTGTTATATATATATGTATCACGTTTTTAATACAAGGCCGTGAAGCACTGTTAAACCAATTGATTATACTACAATCTTAAACTGCATGTGGGTGTGTTTTAATAAGAGAACAAAAGGTCCTCATTTAAGCTCACAAAGATATACAAGAGAGCAGTGACATTATACAGTTGCACTCTATAATTACAGTCATAATACTGAAAAATAGCTTATTTTTGTCCTGAATGGTGACTAAAAGGCTTCATTCGGCTTAATAATTTTAATTAATTACATTTCACTGGGCTTTATGGAAATTTTCGTTTCATTTTTTCTTTTTCTTTTTTGTCACTTGGAAACATGCCTACAGTATTTTGTCTTTACTTCCACTCGTCTGTGTAAGTGATTACTGGGTTATTTTGGAAAGTGACCAAGTGTCTGTCAGGCTCCAGTGTTCAGTCATAACATGACAGGGATGGAGATGAGCCAGTTTACTACTAATTAAACACTCCCATAAAAAAAAATATATATATATATATATATATAAAAGCATATTTTTAA